GGTAAGGAAGGACATATCAGTAGAGAGTGTGTTGAACCAACTAGGATGCAAGAGAATGGGGTTAGACATAATCCTTTAAACCAGTAGAGACTGTAATTGAAGGGCATGTTACAGGTGACCTTGAGAGAACCAGCCCTACTGAGACAGTTACTGAGAAGTCATGTCTGAGCCAATCTAGTGTACATGGTGTCCCGGAACGAGAGTCTTCACTGACTTCGGTCAATTCACAGCATCAGTTAGTTGGTCCAGCTAATGAGGACATGGTTGTGGTTAATGGTGTGTCTTGTTGTGCTCTTATTGATACAGGTTCACAGATCACTTCAGTTACTGAGACATTTGTCCAACACCATCCTCAACTTTGTCACCAACCTCTGGAGTCTAGTAGTGTTGTCATTGAGGGAGCTACTGCTCACTTGGTACCATATAAGGGTGTTATTTTTTTTGTCTTGAGTTTCTTGGATAATTGTTATAAAGGTGTCCCATTTTGTAGTTCCTACTACTGATTATAGGAGTAAGGTCCCCTTACTCATTGGTACAAATGTTATTAGGGCCAGTTGCACTCACATGAGAAATACTCTTGGTAGATGCTACCTGACTAAAGTAAGGAACACTTCTTCTGTATGGTACAGTGTCTACAAAGATACAGCAAAGGCTGAAGTTGGAGACCTTGCTGGTTGCATTGGTAAGACCATGTATACTGGACGACGACCATTATCCATTCCAGCTGAATCGGAAGTGCATGTCAAAGGTAGTGTTCCAAAAATGCCTGGAAATCAGTCTTTCACTGTACTTGTTGAGAGACCAGTCGACAATGGTAAACTTGACAGCATTGCAACAGCGAGAAGTTCGAGTAAGGTAGAGGATGGCCAAGTAGTGGTCCGAGTATGCAACCTGTCGGCTAGACCTGTGAAAATTTATTGCAACACTGCATTGGCGTCTTTGCATAGAAATGGGCATGTTGAAGAGGTACTGTCTGCCAACCCAAACGAACCTACAAAGATGTCTAAACCTGCTGAGACGAAACACCAAAGTATGAGAAAACGTACTAAGGGTAAACCTTCAAGTGATCAGCATTGTATGTCACAGTCCGAAACAGCAGTGCAGATGGACATCCCAGGAGTAGATCTAAGTGGTGCAGCAGTCAACAGTCCTGATGAGCTCAGACAGTTATGGGAGTTGCTTGGGCGTAATAATGACGTATTTTCCAAACACTCCCTTGTCTATGGTTGTACCTCTACTGTGCAGCACGAGATCCCACTTATTGATGATAGGCCATTTTGTTTGCCACATCCCAGAATGCCCCCTGCTCAGTATCAGGATGTAATGACTCATCTTAAAGACATGGAGGATTCAGGGGTTATACATCCAAGTAAATCACCTTATGCTTCCCCCATCGTTGTTGTTCGTAAGGAGAATGGTAGTTTGCGAATATGTATCGATTATCGCCAGTTGAACTCTCGCTCAGTGCGGGATGCATATCCTTTGCCAAGGATTGATGAGGCCCTGAAAGCTCTTGGAAAAGCGAAGTATTTTTCTTTACTTGACCTCACATCAGGTTACTGGCAGATAGAAGTAGCTGAGAAAGATCGTTACAAGACAGCGTTCACTACCCTGATGGGTCTGTTTGAAACAAATCGGATGGCATTTGGACTCCAAAATGGACCTGCTAGTTTTTCCCGCCTCATGTGCTGTTTGGGGAATCAGAACTTTTCTACTCTTCTATTGTATTTGGATGACATTGTCTTTTCAAGCACTTTTGGGGAACATTTAACTAGATTGCAGTTGGTGTTCGATAGGCTTAGACAGCATAAGTTGAAACTGAAGGCAAAGCAATGTCATTTCCTTCGTGAGGAGGTTAGATATTTAGGGCATGTCGTTACTGCAAATTGTGTCACTACTGACCCTGAAAAGATTGACAAGGTGAGGGTGTGGAAGAGACCAAATAACCACAGAGAAGTGCTTCAATTCCTGGGATTTACTGGTTATTACCGTAGATTTGTGAAGGGCTACTCTGAAATTGCGGTGCCACTGAACCGACTGACATCTGGGGATGCTCAGAAAAAGAAAGGTAGGAAACGTCAGGAAAAGCTGCCACCATTTGAGTGGACACCTGAATGTGAATCTGCCTTCTTGATGCTGAAAGAGAAGCTCACCACAGCACCCATTCTTGGTTACCCGTACTTTACACTACCGTTCACCCTGTAAATAGATGCGTCTGTTGATGGACTTGGTGAAGTACTCATTCAAAACCAGGAAGGACAAGAACGTATCATTGCATATGCCAGTCGGGGGCTAACACCATCAGAAACTCGATACCCAGCCCATAAGTTAGAATTCCTTGCTTTGAAGTGGGCTGTAACTGACAAACTGAGAGACTATCTCTATGTGTTTACTGTCTGGACTGACAATCCTCTGGTTTATATAAAAACTACTGCCAAGTTAGACTATATTGGTCAGCGATGTATATCTCAATTGGCTATGTTCAATTTTGAAATTAAGTACCGCCCTGGTAAGAGTAATGTTAATGCAGATGGTTTATCGAGAATGCCGCGAGAAGATGTCGCAGAGACGCTTAGAGTAGTCAGTTCAGTGGTGATGAAAAAAGAAGATGGTAATGGTGACAGCAAATCAGAGATATCGATAATGAAAGTTAAGCAGAAAGCAGGTTCCGAGACTTTGCCTGGTTTGTCCTCTCAAGAAACAAGTCTGCTCCAGAGAGATGACCCGGTTATTGGAACAGTGTTGGTGTACAAAGAAATGAAGAAGCGACCAAGTCGACGAGAAAGAGCAAACAAATCTAAAGATACCAATCTACTTTTGAAACAGTGGGAGAGGCTGTGTGTAAGAGATAATGTCTTATATAGGTCCACACACAACCATGAGGTTGGTGAATGTTGGCAGTTAGTTTTGCCTGAGAAATTGAGAAAACAAGCAGTGTCTGGTTTGCATGATGAAAATGGTCATTTGGGCTTTGAGAGAACCATTGACATGGTGAGAAAGCGATATTACTGGCCAAAGATGCAGTCATATGTGAAAGTCGTATGTGAAAGACTGATGTACTACCTGTAAACGATGTGCACTGAGAAAGGCACATCCCACAACTACACGTGTTCCTCTTGTAAATATTTGTACTCGGCACCGATGGAGTTAATCTGTATTGATTTTTTGGCTCTTGAAAGGTCTAAAGGTGGTGAGGAGAATGTCTTGGTAGTAACTGATCACTTCAGCAGATATGCACAGGCTTTTGCTACCAAAGACCAGAAGGCAAAGACAGTTGCGAAGGTTTTGTGGAGTGAATTTGTTATGCATTATGGTTTCCCGAAGCGCATTCATCCTGACCAGGGCAGAAATTTTGAAAGTGCCTTAATAAAAGGACTCAACCCTTGACCCTTCAAAGAAACAGAATTGGAAAGAGTACTTGGGATGCCTTACTCGCGCATATAATGCAACTCGCCATGATTCTACTTGGTATGAACCCTTCTTTTTGATGTTTATCCGACGTGCACGACTGCCTATTGACTTTGCTTTTGGTGTTGAGGACGAGTCAGACAAACCTGAGGTAGATTATGATGCAGGGGCGACTAAAGTGGTCTTATGGAGAAGCACTTCGGAAAGCAGAGGTGTCCAGAGGGTCACAGAAGAGAAATTATGACAAAAAGGCAAAAGATCTGTATACAGGAAACAGAGTCCTTGTGATAGATAAAACCCCTCAGATAGGCAAACATAAACTTCACGATAAGTGGGAACCTGTACCGTATGTTGTAGTGTTGAAACGCCCAGATGTCCCAGTTTACCTTTTACGAACTGAGGATGGACATAAAGAACGCACATTACACCGAAACATGTTGAAACTTTGTACATTCTTGTCCCCAGATGGACGTGACACACATGAAGATAATATTTATTTTAATGAGTTAGTTGAGGACAATAGTGAGCATAGTAGTGATGAGGAAAATAGTGATAGTGAAAGTAGTGATGACTTTGTAACAATTCATACTTTTCCTTGTGGTAATGTAGTAGATAGTAGTGAACAGACGAGTGTGCCTAGGCCAACAGAGATGGATAATAATGCGACACAGGATACTCAAACTTTGGGGATAGCTAAAGATCTGGAAGAAGTATCTCCCCCTACTAAAACAGTGTCAGTAGGTTATGCTGATGTTCATGATGAATATGTAGAGCAGCTGGAGGCAAGGTCTGTTGATGCCGATGCCAAAGAGTCTTATGACCTAAATAGTGTTTCTAATGGTTCTGCTGCTGAGCCAGATAATATGCAAACTAATTCTTTGTTAAATGATAGTCACATCAGCGATGTTAAAGTAACTACACACGTTGAAACTAATTCTTTATTAAATGACAGTCACCTTGATGATACAAATGTAGCAAAGGTTGGATCTGAATCAAAGGTCAGCGGTGTAAATGAAGTGTCTGGGACAGCAAATTTGGAAAGCGAACCTCTACGCTACCCTTCAAGACACAGAAAGGCACCCGATAGACTAGTTTATTATAGTATGGCTTTAATATGTAAACTACAACTGAGGAGACAAAAGTTAAACTAGTGGTATTGTTAAGGAGAGTATTGCGTTTTATCCTATTGTTTTGCATTCAGTTTATATGACCGAGAGTAGTTATTGTGTTCTTTCCTTGCCTATTGGTAGTGTATGTTGGACATCTATAGAATTTGGATTTGTGTATGCTCATCATCTATAGCCAATGTACTTTCTTTCTGAACTTCGTCTGTAACTTAAGTTAGGAGTGTTGAACGACAAGGATGTCATTTTAGAAAGCCAGGGAGTATGTGACCAGTGTTTATGGAACACATTAGTTTGATTATTTTAATGTTCCTTTTACCTCTGGTGTGACAAGGGCTCACAGAATCTTGTTATCGAGTTTGAATTATTGTACTTAACAAAAACAAACGTTTTACCAATATCACCTGTGATGGCGCATTTCATAACATGTGGGTTCCACTGGTGACTTTTAACCCCACCTGCCATCTTTTGTGTGTTCCTAGGCGAGTGATTTTTGTCAACCTTATCAAGTTTTATCAAGATAGTTATCCTTTACATCCCACTTGTTTAAATACTTGTATGAGTCGATAATGTGTTACTCTTTGTTGACATGTAATTTTTGGAAGTTTATGATCATTCTATTGTATCTTTTGAGATCGATAAAAATTGTTGATGATCGTCCCATTGCTATGTACAGACTGCCGTGTTGCCAAATACTTTTTCTTGTTTTGATATGAATGATATGTATTTTAAAAACCCCACCTGCCATCTTTTGTGTGTTCCTAGGGGTTCGAAGGAGAAATAAAGATCAGCAACGTAGAATCGGTTCATCAATCCACAATTGCAATCTCTGGTGTTTTCATGTATGATCACCCAAAATTATATATACAACGCAAATTTCCGACTGACCGTCGAGAAGCCCTTCCACAAGTATATTATTGAATATAATTGCTTCCATACATGATTGTCTTAACAATTAACATACCAGATTTCCAATAAGTCCTGTCTAATGGAACTCCACTCGACCACTTATACTGGCCTTCCACTTCTTTATCATTCAATCCGATCCAGAAGTGTACAGCGCCATCATCGTCTACTTCGTGATGTTTCAACTTATCAACAACGAAATCACGTTCACCTTCTCCACTAATACTGAAATAAAGTACAGTCGTCAAATAAGTATCAGTTTTGAATATTTAAATATATTATAACGCAGTGAATAATTACTATGCTATATTTTTTGTAAGTTATCAACGATTTTGTTTGTATCAGAGCAAACAATAAGTTAATTTACAATCATAAGAATGTATATATATATAAAATTTCAACAATGTTAAAACAGTTTAATTTCATTACATTATTAAATTAATCATTACGGTCATTCAGATTTCCATAATTTGTACACTATGGTTTTATGTTTGCATAAACATGGTCAAAAAACAAGAAAACTCTTTGAAATGCTATTTATATTGCATTAAATAACACATTTACATAGATTGTTAAAATTTGTTAAAAAAATGCCATTTTTTTCGGCATTTTGTCGCAGGATTTTCTCTTAAAGTAATTGTACTTAGTAAAAACACAAAACAGTTTATGGCATATATCCAAACTAGAATTGGGTAGCACTCTTACTTTGACACTATTTTAACCATATTAATTAGGACGAAATGAACGCGAAAGACCTTTAGAGTATATTTGATTGTTTTACAAATACATTCCCAAACTGTCAAGATAAAAAATCTACTACCGGAGATAACCCCAGCTTGTTTTGTAGATAACAATTCTGATTTATTGCTTGTGATGAAACATCAACTTTGTTATTTACTCAATTAATAATTATATAATTTACCATTTTGTTTGAGAGTAAAGTAAAACAATTGCAACACTGTTTACAACAACATTTAGATTTAAAACCAAATAAGCCGGTGACTGAAATATCAGCGGAAACAAGATATACTGACCTTAACAAATCTGAATTGCCTTCAGTTTCACACCAATAGCGGGCATCGTTCCAAGTCTGTTTATCTCTACTGAAGTAATAACAATGACCACTGAACCCATACCACCCACGCCGACATCCTGTAAATGTAAGTCGTACGAATGCGGGAAATGGTGTCATGATTACAATGGTGAAGAATACAGATTCTAAGACAATATGGCTGGGTCGTATGCAAAATGTCGTTCAAAAGTTCAACTCGTATTCACGTGAAACCATTCTCTAAATGCATAGAAAACTTTAGCAGTAATTCGTATTATATCTCTCAAATCATCTAAACAATGCACCGTTATCGATACCTATACTGTATCTGGTATACATTCTATAATAATATATATATAGTATATACGGAAAACAAGTGTAAAGTACCTCGTTGAAAATCGAAAATCTCCGTTTTTTCTTCAATCTTATCAAGAATTCTTGTCAGTCGGGTTTCGAAGCTTCTCAATTCATCAGTGCAGTATTTGGCGTCTAATTCTGGCGAATTGTACACCAAACATTGAGGTTCATCCTCACCGTCCACGAGTGCTAAAATACAGCTTCCAAGGGAAAGTAACATCAGCAAAACGAGAACGATGTCGCCTAACACATGCATGTTCACTTTTGTTGAGAACTACTGCAAACGTTTGTAATGCATCTGTCTATCTAAACGATGGTTGGCTAATCTAGACCACGTGGTATTTATTTTACATCTAAATCACATGACGAAATTGCTATGCCCTCTAAGGGATTGGTCAGTTACTTCGGCCTGGGGGGGGGATCTATTCCATTTTGCCAGCTGTAAATCTCAGTTGACCCACCCCCTATCAAATAAAAAAAAAGTGGGTGACACCCCCCCCCACCAACATTATATTATTATGTGCTTATGAAAACAAAGGAAACTTTGATTTTTGCTTAAATTTGTGTTGGATTTTGGTATTCTACAGAGCAAAATATGCATATTTAAAAGTTAAAAAAACTATTTATTTATTTTTTCATCATTTATTTTAATTTATATATCAGCATTTTCACAAATTTAACTTTTTTGATTTGCTGAACAAAAACTGTCACTGCTCTTTGTACTAATTGCTACATGTTGTCTTTCCGTCTCCTGTTATAATTGGATAAATCCAGTAAATATTTTATACAATGGTGACTTCAGACTTTAAATAAATAATCAGCAGCACATGGACTTGGGATGTGTTTAAAACTTAACTGTATAATTGGGATTCTAGCCGCATTGCATAATCTG